CTTTCTCTGAGCTGTATTATACTGCATTATGGCTATAATTGAAGTTTTTTAAAAATATATAATATATTATTTAAAATTAATAAAAATATAAAAAAATTAATTGAAAATTATAAAATTTATATTTTTAAGTAAGATAAAAAGTTTGTGTGAAGTATTGCCGAACAAAATTTAGTATTTCATTTCTCCATTCCATTTTTTAACAAATAATCTAGTAGGAGGAATGCAATGTGTTGTTTGCATTTAAAAGAAAAATGTTAGTAATAGGGGATGATTCCATGTCCAAAATTTGACGCATAAGAACTTTGAACCATCCCGGGTTCCCCCAGTGGGCATCGAACTCGGCCTCCATATCTAGATACCTAAATCACCATACTTTGTCCCCGTTTCCCACTCTTTCTATCTGCAAGTACTCTACCTTGACAAAGAAAAGCAACAACCAAAATTTTGTTTGAACTTCTCTTATGTCAATGTCATTTCTTTACGAGGTAAAATATATATGACAGTTCAAAAATTTTCTAGCTAGTTCTGGATGGATGTGGTTGGTTGATTGGTTCCCTGTTTAATTAAAATTAATTTTTTTTTAAATTTCTTTTAATAATGTAATAATGGTTAGCATCAAGTGTTACCGAGGTGTCGAAACCAATTAATCCAAGTAATAAGAGTGAGGTGGCTTAATTAATTAGTTTAATGACGACTAAAAAGGCGAGATAAGGAACAAAGTTGATCACCCAAATGGAGAATTATTTTTTAAGCAGAACAGGAGCTAACCAAGGGGGATGAAAAAGGTTGATTAATAAAGTATACTGGGCGCCTTTTGTACGACTCTGTCTCATCCTCTAACCTCCCTCAATGGTCTCAGATGCTTTGCTTTATTAATGACACAAATAAAGCATATTATGCTATATTTGGATCATTCATTATTTCACTGTCCTACTACCCTTTGATGATTACTAATATAATTATACTAAGTTTTTGTTGTTTTGATTGGATCAGGGTGTTCTTATTTCCAATTTTATACCCTATTAAACTACTAGAAGTAGTTTCAACTTTCAGATATTGATTTGTTAAAGATTTTAAATGGTGTCTTTGAGTTCATATGGGAATCTGGAATTTTATGTGCTTGAATTCGTTGAAATTATTCCCAGCCCCCAGGGGAAGGCATCTTTGAAGATAATAAAAGCAAAATGCAGGAGCATTTGGTTCGGTTAATACTTAAATTAAATTCCAACATGTTTAATGTTATTGTCAGAAATGACTCAACAACTTGATCTTATCTTGAATTTGTATTAAAAGTCATCTTAGCAACCAATAATCCTATGCTTGGAGTCAAACAGAAGGTAAGATTAGGTTGACTGTTGATTATCTCAATTTGTCCTTCATTGTCAAAAAGTTTAACTATCTTTAAAATATTTGCTAGGAATCAGATTCAAAATGGAACCCAGATGTACTAATTGTGAAGGGGCATAATTTTAATACAACTAAAGTCACGACTTCTACAATGAAATAGCATGCTCATTTTTCTACTAGAACTCAGTATGTATTCAGGGTTAGCTCAACTGTAACTTGAACTGAAAAAAAAAAAAAAAGAGAGGAGAAAAACTCAACTAAAATAGTAACCTTCTATCATTCCAAGCAGTAAGAAAATAGTTGTAACAGAAACTGAATATTGAGCCCAACTTGATCAAGTGACGCATTTCATCTTGGTAAATGCAAGTATAAAACAGGCATTCATATACGCACATTGTTGGATGGCCAAAAGACAAGCATGCAACTTACTGAAAGGGTATCCAATAAACATGAAAAAGCACCTTGTAAAAACAAAAGAAACAGAAGTACCATATTTTTCAGTTGCTGGAACGTCGAAGCTCAAGGGTGAGTGATGAAACAATTTGAGCTGCAGACTCACAGATCAGCTGTTAATCCGTCTAGGTTAGAGCTTTTCAGACCTCATGCCAAGTGATTAGACCACTAATTTCTATTATAATGGAACAAAATATTGAAGTATACATACAATGCAAATCTAAACTATGAAGAACAGACACAGCTGACCTTTCAAAACCTTCATGATTGTGAAGGATAAGACTTGAGTAATTTACAAGCTTTTAGGCAAAAATGAATGGTGCTATCTACGTTCAACAAATTAACAAATTAGTATTTGATAACACTATGGCGTAACCAAAGTTCATACATAACCATATGGAATGCGTCATAATCTATGGGTGGTGAATTCCATTGGAAGTGTTTCTGGACCTGACAAAACAATGCCACAAGAAATTTTCATCAAGCACAGCAGTGAACTGTTGCCACTCAACTTCATCAATTCATTTTGCTATAAGAATAGAACTTAAGACAAAAATGAAGAAACAATTGTAGCAAAAAATGATGTTTTATGAGAGAATACAAAAGAACCAACTTGCAATAATGAGTTTCCTTCTTTCTTTTCTTCTGTTGGATACGGAAAAGTAAAGTAAAATAAAGAGTAGACATTTACACAAGAATGTATGCAACGAATTAACTAAACTACAAAAACAATTACCTATTTATACTTCTAGTCTTCCAAATTAAATATTTCAAGAACATGGGAAAGCTTTTTACCTTTACTACATTCTTGTGAAGTGAAGCAAAGTCCTCATCTGTTATGTTTTTGAGGATTTGTTTAAGCTGGTACACATCAACCTCCCTAAGTATGACTGCAAACTTTTGCCAGTCAAGAATGTCATTGAAGGGCAGGTCATAATAGTTGGACAATATTACTGCAAGTAAAAATGTGAAATAAGTTGGGTACAAGAGAAGTTGCAAGAGGGAAACAAAAAATCCCTAGCAAAAGCTCTGAAACTCAAAGTGAGGCAATCTTACTATAAAAATCCAAGCCATAGAAAATCCCATACTCTTAACATAATGGGTCTCAATTCCAATGAGCTTCTTCCTTTAAGTTTAAACAGATCATGAAGGTTGTTGCTCCTCAGATTTCTAACACACTAAAATTATGATGGGGTTGCAAATCAAGTCTAATATCCAGAAATAAAGGGATGCTTCCAGCATATTAACTACATGAGTAGCAGCCAATGGGCAACCCTAGTGGTAGACGTCAGAAGCAGACATCCTAAAAGTCTCTCAAAGCAAGAATTTCCAGGTTTTACAAATCAGGCTTAGGGCCTGTCTGGTATAGCGGTTAAAACTCAGCGGATAGTGGATAGCGGGTAATAGATAATGGATAGTGGATAGCGGGTAATAGATAATAGATAGTGGTAGCGAGTAGCGGGTGGTAGTTAGCGGATAGCACATGGCGGATAGCGGAAAGTGGGAAGCGGATGGTAGATAGCAGATTCAATAGATATAACTATTTGGTTATACAATAGTTAGTGGTTGTTGTTTAATATTAAATGACTAATAA